CCTGTTCATAAAAGCTGCAGAGATTTAAGCAGCAATAAACATTAACACTGACTGAAAAACCCCTAACCCAGAGGAATAAGTCCGTAAAAGGAAACTGAAAGAAAAACAGTTCCCAGAACCTTTAAAAACTCTAAGGGAACAGCAAGAAAATATACCCACGTGCATTATTGACTAACGAATAATCAGTCCATAAGCAGCTAAACAGTGAAAGCATTTTTCACCTTCAACTTTTTTTTTTTAGTTCAGCTTCCTTCATTTCTATCCACACAACTTTTTGTTACTGGAATCCAGAAAGGGCTTGCTTCCTCCTTTTTTACCATCTCCATGTTTCTACTGAAGTAAGCTTGTGCCACGAAAATGAGGCTTTTCCACTGTTTTGTTTTGTTTTCCAAAAGCATTCTTAAAAAAAATGAAGTATTAGAGCTGAACTACTTGAAAGAAAACCCTCAAACTTCCCAGTAAAAAATTCTCTCATCAAGACAAGAACAGATTGCTGCCTACAACCTTACCTAGAATAAGCTGTTGTTTTTAAATAAACTCTAAGCCCAGTAACATCTAGACCTGCTTTTATTCCAGTATATAAGACCTGCTTCAGACACTCCTTTCTATGCTTTTTGAGGTTAATCTTGCTCACCAGAATGCAAATGTTGCCAAAGATGGCATATATCTCAGCTTTGCACAAAACAAGACAGGAAATGACGGTCTACTCATTTGATTGCAAAGTGGGACTTTACAGCTTGTGAATCATAAGATACCCAGGATACACCTATAGGGCTGCACAGAACAACAGCTTCTGTTTCGAAAGAGGTCTTACAATTTAGAATAAGACTGCTTATTAGGCAGTTATCTTTCCTCTGCACGTATCTGGACTCCAGCGACACCAACCACACAGCGCAGATACCAGCTGCCTTCTGCGGTGCACCCCTGCAATCCATCCCCATCATATGGTTTTGAGTAATACTTTTTTAGATTAAAGACTCTCCAAGACAGAGTTCAGATTTACAAATTTCTACCTCTCATGTCCTATTTCTAATAACCACGGTAACAGTGTTCTGTGGGTCTCAGCTTGTAGAAGCAATAGATGCAAGAAACTGAAACACAAGCACATAGATTCGCTTGAGTAACAGTCAAAACACCAGAAAATTTAAATTCATACAGTGTTTTCAAAGCAAAACTTCAGACAAGACTTCACATATGCATCAGAACTTTCTGGAAAAATCCTCAGAATGTTATCGCTTGGAAGCACGCGAGTATTTCAGGATGGAGTTAAGCAGATGGTAGCGAACACGGAGAAACAAAACAGATGCTGTGAGAACCTGCGGAACACGGTATGACTTGTCCAGACGCAGCGGGAGCACAGAACGCTCCACACGGCCTCAGGTTTCCCCGGCCTTCCCCAGCCAGCAGGGCACGGCACGCACCGCACCGCACAGCACAGCACGCACCGCACAGCACAGCACGCACCGCACAGCACAGCGCCGCACGCACCCGCACGGGTGCCGGGTACCCCCGGGGCGCAGGCGGGGGCTGAGGCCAGACCGGCCGCTCTTTGTCCCCGAG